TACGTTCATATTCTATATCTTATAACCAATTCTTATATCATCATATAAGTCATTTATACTCATTCACATATACGTCAACATATATTACATACATTGTTTTCATAATTATCTCTTTATTAGCCCATGTACACATGTGAGAACTATAGATATGTGAGTCTATAGAGGTTGTGCATTAATGCTGTCACCACAGCTCGTATAAATTCCCACTAGGGGCACTGTATATTTTTTCTGAAGGACCACTATGTTCCGAAAGACCACTCCTTAAGAACCATACACATAATACAATGGACCAAATAAGTGTACCGAAGTACCCCATAAATGTTCCACATAATTACATATATGTCTCGAAGGACCACGTAGAACCCTCGACTCTTGGCATGCCAACTATACCTCTAGCTCTCATGTCACACAACATGGGCATTAATCTTTATGTTATCATACATTCACATATACACATAGTCTCATTGTTCTTTCACATAGCTCATTGTCGTATAAATCACATATCATATATACATATAGACACATGGTTCATTTACGCGTAGAACATTTTCATATGATTCACATATCACAAAGCTTATCACATATAATTGTATTCTTTTTCATATAATCACATAGTCATATAGTATTTCATATAACATATACTTTCTCTTTTATATATCTCATGTCACGTATCATATCTTGTGATCGTGTAATCATGTTACTTATAATCACATAATTTATACTCATAGGGTTCAACATCATTAAACTTAGTTCACTTTCCATATTATCATACATTTATATAATCTTATATGTCCTATCATTAACCTATAAACTTACTCATATACTCATATATACTCTTTAATATAATTTGTATAGTAATGCTCTATAATTGTATCATATACTGAGTTTACCTAAGTCTTCCTTTATAAAGTTTATACTACAAGTTCAAATAGTCTCATTCTATCCTATACATAGTTTATACCTATCTTATCTCACTTCCCCTTTCACTCACATAAACCATCTATATACTAGTTTTATCCATTTATTTAGTTCAATTTCCATGACTTCTATAATACTCTTTCATAAAGTTTTGTAATTCTTCACTTTATAACTCATAACCCGTAGTCTCCTTTAAGTATATAAATCTTCCCTATATAACTTATGTGTCATTACTTATGTTTATGCCCTCAAAGTTATACTATCCTCATAGAGTCTCTTAACCTTTCTCGTGTAACCACTTATACCATATAATAATACTTATACTTGGTTATCTTATGTTCACATATATATATATATATATATATATATCAATGGTTCATTAACTTATAGCTTATGTCACATGTTCGTTTCATTCTTTATGTCTTTATCATATAACTTATTTCATGTTCTTCCATTATTACATAATAATGTTTTGCACAAATCATATAGCATATACAAATCATATCAATATCTTTAGTCATGCATACATACAATTAATGTAATACATATAATCACATATAGCACATATAATCATAACAACCACATAATCATGTTCATAAATTCATGCATATTACTCTAGGAAATAGACTCATCGCAAGTCTTATTTCCATTAAACACTACAGGTCACTAGTATGCACTACCTTGGCCTCACTACGTTCCAATCCACTTTTATGGTTTCCTCTCTTTCGATCGAATCTTATCTTGATAATCGTTTCGGAACTTGTTCGTGCTCGATATCTACATAATCATGTACTGATACTTATCATTATCCAATTGATATACTTTAATCTATCATTTCTTAGAATGGAAGAAAGATTTATTCTATTTCCCATTGAAGTGCATCGATACATTCTACAATGTATCGATGCATCCTTTAACATGTGCATCGATACACTACCCATGCATCGATACACAAATCACCTTCGATGTTTTAATCTTAAGGGGGTACATCGATGCACTCCTTATGCATCGATGCACTAATTGCATTTGATGTTTCCATTTTTAATGGGTGCATCGATGCACTTCCTGTGCATCGATACACACTAAACAATTTCTGGAAATACCCTTGATGCATCGTTACACATTGAATGTGCATCGATGCACATAGCCCAGAAATGACATTTTAGCACGAAAATCTCTCCAATTCTACTTAAACACTTCATATTTCATCTTCTACCATATTCTTAACTCTCATATACATACTTAAACTCATTTATACTCCTTTATCACCCTTTAAATCTCAAAATTACTTTCTTCATATGGAAATCAATAATCATACCAATTTTTCAATATGTTCTAAATTCAATTCTATCACTTCATGTCTCTTAATTAAGTTGATGACAAGTCAAATTTATCTTCCAATTTGAGTAATGAACTCTATTCCAAGATTTCATTTGAAAACTCTTAATCTTTAATCTCGCCTAACTCCACCATCCTTTGCTTTTAAGATGATTTAAGCTTTCTTTAAGCTTAATTATCATCTAATGATCATATACAAACCTTGAATTCAACAAGAAATTAACTAACAAGAGGACTTATCTTTGCAACCTTGGTTCACGATGGAGAGAAAGAAGAAAGATGAAGAGAACTCTGGAACTTTCTTTTCCCTCTTCCCACATGGTTTCCTTATCTTATAAGAGAAAATAAAAATCTTCCTTGTCAAATGACCATTTTACCCTTTACTTCATTTAATAATTACTAACAATCCCTCAAAATATTTACAAATAAGTCCCTGCATTTTACAATCTTTTGTAATCATACTTCAAAGTTTCAAAAATTCCATTTTAGTCATTAACCCTGATTTTGGGATATTATATAGACCCTTAACAACTATATTCTGGTTTTATTTTTGCCATTATCTTTATATGCACTTTTCAAGTGAGTACTTTTGAACTTATTATGCTTTAACCTTTCTTCGTGTTGCACACAATGAAAAATGAGACTATTTAGAGTTCATTTCTCCCCTTGAGTTGATTAAAATCAATAGGATGTGGTACTGAAATTATAAGAATAAGTAATTTTTTCTAGAAAAACTCGATCTTAAGTGGCTTAAATCTTGAAGCAATATGAAACATATCTATAGTGTACTCCCTCGCATTTCCTTAACCCTTATACTTTATAGACATTAAAGAATACAAAAATGATGTCATTTAAACCTTATTATTTTTAGGAAAACTTTTATCAATTTTTCCAAGGAAACCATTAGCCTTAGTAATCTTTTCAGATTATGTGCTCCTAAAGGCTTCTAAAATATTATGCTTCATGACCCATAGACTCATGAAAATTTGAACAAATTTCACCTCTCAAAATCCCTTATACCAATTAAGGATGTTATCTCTCTCAGAGGTGGAAATTGTTCTTTCCTTAGTGCAAAGTCTATGTTCATACAATCAAAACCTTATGTAAGTGTATTTTCTCATTCGTTGAGATTCAATTTTTGAAGCATGAGTAGAAAATGTATAATATCAAATATTAAGATAGCAATAAATAAACAATTAGCTAAATACATAACAAAACATAAATAAAATTGAAGCTCACATATTAAGTAAACAAATAAATTCAAAATTATGGCTAATTCTCATCTCAATATACCAAACACTACATCAATATCAATTCTTTGGACAGTAATCACTACAACAAAACATGTTTCCCGACATCAGTAAAAGCGCCGCTAAAACCAACTTAGCAATAGTTAACGATGTTTGTGAACAGAAAACACCACAAAATGTCAAGATCTATAGCGACATTTTTCTTACAAACGCCGCTAATTACCTTATATTCAGTGGCGTTTATTTTGTCAAACATTGCTATTGTTATGATATTTAGCGACATTTTCCTTTACAAACGCCGTAAATGTTTACGCCATTATTGGCGTTTTCTTCACTATACGCCGCAAAAGAACTAGACTTCTAGTGGCTTATTTACAAACACCGCTATGGTTAACTGATTTTGCATATATCGTTTTCTACTCTATGCTACCCAAATTTAATATCATGTAACATTAAATAAACTTAAAATTTAACTACGACACAAATTATGTAGAAAAATAAAACAAAATTTATAAAATGAAAATGAAATGTAACATAATTCAACACTGTTCACTAGAATTTAGTGTATGTTCTTTCTCTTTCAATTAAAAAACATTGTTCACCAGAATTTAAAAAAAAAAACATTCTTTTGGTGGCAATTTTGTTCATTGATCTGCAACTTCAGTTTATTCGTCCGTTTCATTTTCCAACACCTGGAAAATGAATGGTTTAACAATATGGATAGGGGACTGACATTTTTGCTCTTCTTGACGGTGACTCGGCTAACACCTGGAATTGGTTTCACCCCGAGCTTCAATTTAGCTTTTCGACTCTTCTTTTTGCTTCTGCTTTGCTTTGACCTACCATTCTTTCTCCATCAAGATGGCCTGACAGTACATACATTAGGACAAAAAAATGAACCTCAGAACAATGCATCACTCATTTATTATAAAGAATAGGTTCTCCATTAACATGCTTTTCAATATTTTAGCAGTGATCCACGGAATATGCATTGCATTAATTGGTAAATAATAGATGTAGATGGTACAAATAAAACTGCTTTGTGGCGGACAAAGAATAAACTAGACATGCAGTTCTACGGGTTATGATTCATATCAGTAGCACTAATATAATATTGTCCAAATGTAAGAGTAATTGATCTGATTCAAATTAAATCAATATAAGCTTGATCTGGAGCTCGAGCAAAATTCACGATTCAAAAAGCTAAAACCAAATATTAAAGCACAAGGATTGAGTTAAATCAACTAGTTGAAATACTCAAGATCAACTTGGTGCATAATTGCAAAATCAAGTTGCAGGAGCCAGTGACTACTGATCCAGCTAGCTTATCTAAAGCATCTTACATGTGACCATTTACATAGCAAATCAAATTATATTAAAATAACAACTAAGCAAACAGAATTTAACCAAATGCTATAACATATATTTCACTTTAACTATACAATGCACTTAATAAATAAAAAAAGGAAAAATAATGAAGAATCAACTCACGAGTTACTGGCCGAGGAAGTCATTCTTTGGATCTGTCGAACACAACAAGGTAGCTTTCAGAATAGCAAATAGAGCCTGCACAACAAATAAACAGTAATGTTTACTTATAATAAATAAAGTTAATAGGGAAAAAAGAATGATGATATAAGCTTTTGAAACAGAAAAAAGTACCTTATTCATAAGCAAGTTTACTTGCTCTCTACACATTTCCTTCAAGTCTACAATATCAACATGGAGTTCCTCCAACTAGAAAGATGACGCAGCCCTTAAACATGTAAGCACATCATGGATGACAACAGTATCATATAATATTTTCAAATCTAGAATTGAGTCAGAAATATTTGGTTCAGCAAAGCTCATGTCTCTCCGCCTTAATATACTTATTATACCACGTACATGAAAATAACATCTATTTGAATATGAAATTTTGTTTTCCGCCAATGAGAAATAATCCAAATGAAAAGAGCCATCTACCTCCTCATTTCGTTCACCCATTAGCTCCAGAGCAGCAATGTGTCTCCGCCTCAAGGCTTCTAGCTCTGTCCGGATTCCAGACAATGTGGCAGCCTCAGCCTTCAACTTTTCACACTACAGCAAATGTAGACAAGGTTAAAAACAATTATTTGACCAAGAAAGAGAATATAATATTGATGAATAAAACCTCACTCGAATTTAACTAGAAAGCAGAAACCTCTGCAGTCATTTTGACTAACTCCTTAGATAGAGAGTCACGGATAGACTCCAAGGAATTCTGACGTAAAGCAAGGTAGATATAAGCTATTTAAACAGTAAACAAGATAAAACACATACCTAAAATCAGGAAATATTTGGTACCGAGAATAGTTTGAACATTTAGTGCAAATATATTGAATTCAGGAGCTCAAAGAATAATTCATACCAAACGAGACATATAGGATGCAAATTCACCCTCTTTTTGACGAAGTGTAGATTCAAAAGCACTTGCTGTCATACTCTTCATATAGAGTGGACTTGCTGTAGCCTCTTCGATATTTCTTTTTTCAGAGAAACCATCAGATGAGTCCAACGATGCTTGTAGAAAATATCTTTCCTCCATGCTTTCTATGCTGCTAGCAGTAGATAGTTTCCTAGACAAGCTTCCTGCACCACAGTCACACAATAAGCACAGGAGATCATAAAAGAGCAACTACATCATAACAGAAAGCACAATACCATTCTCCAAGGTGGAACTATGCCTTGCAATTGGAGCTTGCTCTGTAGACTGCACGCGCATTGTCCTTTCCAAGTCTACTCGGGCAGCTTTCTCCCTTTCTACTTTCTGTAAAAAATTTAAAAGAATCCTTCTGTAAACAGAACCAACTATCAAATCCAAGAACCAATGGTTAAAATGGTTCCTATGATCATATAAGCATAATAAACTCTTACGGAATGCCTCATGTAACATCAGCAGTAAATTGAAATAAGTTTTATAATGCTAAACCATATATGTCCCTTTTGAAATCTGCAATCATGTGCAGAATACTAGATGATATTCTTTTTTATCACCAGAGTTGAAAGGAAAAAGAATTCAAGAAAACAACTAATATGAATGGAAAATGGAAAAAAAATTCAACTCGCAGGCAAAAAGAATGGATACGCTAATATATTAGGACTCCCTTTCTACCTTTTTAATTCAAGAAAACAACTAATATGAATGGAAAATGGGAATTTTTTTCAACTCGCAGGCAAAGAAAATGGGAAAAAGAAGTTTTTATCATGAATTAACTATAGATAGTAGAGTCACACACTCGTAATGGAAGAAGCAATATATAAAGGTGTAGTAGAGTGTACAAGTACACCCGTACCAAACACAATAGAGGTTGATGCAATAAATGGAAGCACGATATGTTTGTAATCCCCGAAAACCAAAAATCTATAGAATTTAAAGTTTTTAATTAAAAAAGAAAATTAGAAGTACCAAGGTGGATTTGGATCTCTTTTTAATTAAAAGAGATCACTTTGGCGAAATTATGTTTCAACTAATTTATCAAAATATCAGACATAACCGTAATATGAATTAATTTGTTTCAAAATATATATATTATATTAACCAACAATCAAAATTGAAAAACCAAATTGAATATATATATATATATATATATATATATTGCATTAAAAATATAAATAAAACCATAGGAATATTGTCAACTAAACAAATTTCTCTTAATTTCTCTTTTAATTATATTAAAAGATAACTAAAATAATAATAAATTTGAATACACTTAAACCTCATCTCAAGATATCAAATACTACATTAATATTTCATCTTTAGACAAAATATTCACCTTAAGTGATATCTGATGCGGTAATCAAACATTGATAATAAGAACATATCAAGTAAAAATCTTCCTTTGGATCGATTTATTACTCACACATCAAGCCGAATAATTATCACACACAATTATGTCAACTATTCTTCTTCTTTTGGGTCGACCAATACTATAATATCCTAAGGTACATGTTCATAACCTTTATAAATAAAAATTATTTTCCATTATTGTGGTCAATTTAATGACTTATTGCTTTAATTAAGTTGTCTCAAGATAAATATTAGTATTCAAATTTAATATTTCTATAACGATCAATGGTCAAAACTGAAATTTCTGATTGCACCACAATATCTGAAACAACCCAAAATAAGCTTACATAAACGGTGATACCAGAAATCGAAAACTCAAGTCTTCGATTGTTTATGAAGAAATCCTTAAACATACATTTAGGTCATAACTTCATAAATCACTAAAAAAATAAATCGAGTTCAAATCAATATTTAACAAAAAAGTCAAGGTCAAAGTACATATTAGTAAATTAAATCTTTAATCAAATTGAATTGAATATATCAATATCAAATATATATTCTATAATCCATAACATTTAAAAAACGTCGTGTTTTCTGAAATAACTCGAAATAAGAACGTCGAAACGACACCATTAGAAACCGAAAACCTTAATATTTGACAATTTCCCAAAAAAAAATCTTAATCATGGATTTACCAAAGTAAACCAAAACATGATACAAGAAATCAAAATCTACTTTATAATTACTATTATTATAATTAATAAAGAAACTTATAGTAACTTTATACTACTATATTAACATAAAAATTTGGTATTCAGCACCAAACCACTTAAAAAATAGATACGATTATAATAATCGACTAAAAATGGGTTGAAACTTAAATACCCAATACATAATTGAATCACAATTCAAATTACCATGTTGTATAAAGTTTTAAACCACAAATAATCAAATATAAATTCACGGAATCATCCAAAATCAAAAGTATATATCCTTTTAATGTCCTAATATATATATATATTACCAATTGCTTCTGGGATATGAAAACCACGACAAAAAACACTAATGGTAACATGAATTAAAGGGTCTTTGCCGACAATCCAGTGAACTAGATTAATTCATACTATGAGATTATGAAATATTAAAATTTCAATACTAATCTTTAATTCAAATATTAAATTAATATATTAAACTCACAAAATATTTAAAGAACGAATCAATTAAAAAAATAGAAAATAAAGTCATTCTTAATGATTCAACACAATTTGACGATGATGTCACTTGTAAGAACTAAACCATAATAAATATAGAATTAACTAGGATCAAATCATGCCAAGTCATCAAGAATAATAAATACTAGATTAGCGAAAGCGTACCTGAATTAATTGATAGGTTGAAATCCTTGAATCTTTCTTTGGTTGTGATCTTCTAAAAATATAGAGTTCCCTTAAGTATAAACTCTCCGACGAGGATAAGAATAAATATGATAGTGTCTATTTCATGGGATCATAACCCCTTTATATAGCTGAGTTAAGAATAAGTTATTGTATGTACTTATAGCTCTCTCTCTCTCTCTCATTAAATTATAAATACAACTTTAATAATATTTACATTTTTATTTTCATGAAACTTTTAATACCTTATGACTTTATAACATAATTGGTCACTTAATTTATGTCATATTTTATGATAACAATATATGTAACGCTCCAAATCCCGAGTTAGGAGTTTTGGACTATCCCGAGATGGACCTTGAGTTAATTCCTTAGCTTGTAGGAAGACTTTACCCAAGTATAAGAAGAATTGGGCTTGGTTCAAGCCCAATAAGAAATTAAAAGGATATTTTTAGTTTATAGCCAGAATTAGAGGGACTAAGGAAGCGATTTCACCATTTAGAAATTCAAAAGCTGGAAACTTTTAATTGTGGGTGATATCACGTTGTCCCCTTCATTTTTTTCCGCTACACTTGTTTCTTTTCTTCTCTTCCCATTCATCTTCTTCTTCTTCCTTAGAAAGCTAAAGCAAAGGTGAAAACTTTAGCTTAGTTCCAACATTTTTAAGCAAGCCAAGTTAAGGGTTTAACTCATTATCTTTAGAGCTTTAGATTAAGCCTTCAACTTCATCTTTTCACAATGGTTCTCAAGAACGAGTTTTGTTGGGGTTTAAGGGATTTCAAGATTTTAACCCATTTTTAGTGATTTTTAGGCTTAGAAGAGTCCTTAAGGTCTCTTAAAACATTAAACTCGGCTGGTAATCCTTGCATTTGGTTTTGTTTAGTGTAAGAGGTTGGAGAAGGCTCCTAAGCTAAGGGAAGGAAAACTTACCTTGGGTTGAGCTTTTGACGTTTCCAGCAGCTTAGAACCATTAGGTAACTCACTCTTGACTCATCTACACCATATGTAGCTCATTAGATGGAAATGGTACATTGCGTAAGCTTGAGACATGTTCATGGTAGATGGCATCACTTGTGTGTTTTCAGTATGTTAAGGACCTCTTTATAACCCTCATTAACAAATAAAACACCTAAATATCAATTGGGGACTTAAATAGGGTATTTGGGGATGAAAATATAGGATTTTCGTGCCCAAAATAGAGCACACGGCAGCGAGGATATCGACACTGTATGAACAGTATCGATATTGTTCTTCAATCAGGTACAAAATAGGAAGATTTATAAGGGTAGTATCGATACTCATTCGTTGAGTATCGATACCAGGGCAGGACTATTGATACTCCCCATAGGGGTATCGATACTAGCTAATTTTTGAAACATCGAACCTCATTTTGGTATTGATACTCAATCAAGTATCGATACCAGGGAAGGAGTATCAATACTCCCCATAGGGGTATCGATATTGAGCTAATTTTTAAACATCAAACCTCATTTTGGTATTGATACTCAACCTAGAGTATTGATACTTCTTTATTCGACCAGCTACGTCAGACAAGGGGTATCAATCCCAATAGGTAGGTATCGATATCAAAGATTTGGTATCGAAATTGAAAGGTCAATATAGATACCTACGAGCAAAATTTGATAAAATAACCAAGGATTAAAGGATCATACCTGAGGTACCCCAATATACTTGAATAACATCAAATAAGACTTCAAGCGATAATAGTAATCAATATTTGAACAGTAGAAATAGTAAAAGCTAGTTTCACATAAAACTAGCCTTGTTTAATACTCGAGAAACACCAGGACACCCGAGTTCCTTTTAGCAGAAATATGATAGTTAGTGGATCCAATCAGTGCCTTCGCACTTCAGCAGCCAACCAGGTGCTAGATGCCCCAAGTCTCAATAGAGTGGTTGTCAGGTTAAGTTTCTGATGCCAAAATTCCAGATTCACACCTGACAGGCTAGAGGGGTGTGAGCTCCAAGATGACATAATCCATCCGTCGCACCATGATGTTTGCCACAGTTTAGCAGATTAGGTTTTATTATATTATGTATTCACATGTTCAGACTTGTGCCACTAGTTTATTTCATTTAGTGAATACATATAGTATAGTAAAGTTTTTAGTGAGGCACTGAGCTCATAAGCTTAGCGTTCAGAATGTGTTTCCGTGCGCAAGTTCTTAGGGGTAGGGTGTGGGAGTTATCGTCAGCATATATTCCAGTGCAACAGACCATATCAGCAGTGACTATCAGAGTGTGTCTTGAGTCTTTTTAGTGGGCGTGTACTATTTATGGACCCTTTGTATATTCAGTTGTAACTTTGATTTGTATTGGTACTGTATTAGTTTGGATATATATATATATATTGGGAGCTCCCCACTATTTTGTAAACTCAGGTATTTACTATGGTTCCATTTTAACAGTTTAGATGAAATAATTCAGTTAGTTGAAAAATAGATTTTAAAGAAAAAATTTGGGTCACTATTTCGGTAGTCCCTTGTGACATTGTAATCTAAGGATCTTCGGGTCAAACTGGATTAGAGTGTTACAATATACATTATAAATATGTGCTTATAATTATGGTTTTTAATCCAATAGGAGATGGTGTGATGTTGATGTTGGTTTCGTCTTAAGAACTCTCTTGAATGTGATTGTTCAAGAAAACCCCGTCAAAGGTTCTAATTAATCCTCCAATAACA